TTTTATACTTCGGAAATCCTATCAACACTGTGTATGTAACTGGTCAGTGATACTATTGAGAGTTGTTTGTATTGCATGACACTATGCTCAAAGCTGCCATTTCTCTGTGTTTATTGACAGTGATACTTCTGTGGAGGATTAAGATATTTGAACACTATCACTTTTATGTTATATTTTGCCTTCGTTTAAAATGGCTATTATATAAGTCATGCTAAAATTGAGGGGGGGGGGCATAAGCTTAATTGCATGTGCCTAGCTACCGTTTACCTCATCATGCAGTAGTTTCCATTCATGTTAGGTGGTATAATATGGTCAGAAATAATGAGGTTAAACGTAGAGCGTGAGGAATGAATGCGAAGTCAGTATGTCAGTATCTAAAGCCTTATCGATCGAAGTGACTGGGATATAAGTAACGCATACCTACGTTAGAAAAGGCTTAGAGGTGGTCAAACCAAAACATGATACCATTTCACGAAGTCTTTGACGGTAGGTTTGAAGAAGTCACGTAGATAGGTGTAGACCTATGCACGCTTAAAATCGATAGTTGATGACTGTTTGTAATTCCTTGAGGTTGACTTGTTATCTGTTTATTGGTGGTTGGTTTGCAGTAAGATCTCTCCTGCTATTTAGGACTCGTCAACTAGATATGCAGTAGTGTTTCTGTGGAGTAAATCAGTGGCACTGTGGGTGATTTCATCCATAACCATAACAGTGAACCTCAACCAGGTAATATACGCCCTCTTATGTGATTCTTACCAGCGATTATCAACTTCGAGGATTGATGTTGTACTATGATCTAATCATTCATGACTCTCTCTCGCAACTTAATCACACAGTCAACATTGCACATCGAGGAAGGTAATGGCGCGACATAGCGTATATATTTCCTAGACATCTTAGTTCGTGAAGCTTCGTAACCTTATCGAATAACTTGCCCTCCTCCCCTAATACTTCACTACTCTCGTGTCTCCTACTTTCATTGGTCATGTTATGTCTAATTGTTGCTTGGCGCACAAAGCCTTTGCTGAGTTGTCAAAGATGACTCAAGTTGATGAATGCCGAACAGAACATTTGTCTACTCTATTTCTTTTACTGTTCATTGTGTGAAAGGAAGATATTATTATTGTTCCCTTGGGTTCCGAGTGAAACATAGGGCTTCAACAACACATCTCCACTTCGTTCTATTCTCTGCCATCTTCTTTACCTGGGTCCACAATTTCCCATAATCTCTCATCTCTTCTTTACACGATCTCCTGTATGTCATCCTAGGAGAATTCACTCGTCGCTTCCCATTCGGATTCCGCTCGAGCAATGGCCTGGCGAACGATGTCATTCGACGGCCTCCTCAATGTGTGCTCGATCCATCCATATCCGTTTTCTCCTACATATTTGTTGAGTGATCGGTCCTTGGTTGGTTTGTTCCCAGAGTTTCTTGTTGCTAAATCTCTCTGATCTGCCATTTGATCTTCAGTATGGAGCCAGCAAAGACAGTTGTTGACGAAAGTTTGCAACCTCTTGGAAATTCTTTTCGTGACACGCAGTGCAAGTCTCTGACCCGTACAGAAGGACCGACTTGACATTGGTGTTGAGAATCCGAATCTTGTTCTTTATGCAGGCTGAGTGAAGCAGAAGATTTCTGAATTGGTTTCAGGTTGATGAAGGTGTATCTTGCCTTTCCGATTCCGGCCTGCTTTGACATCTCCATCCGTTCCGACTGTCTGTGGTTGAAACGATGCTTCCTGGTTGGATAAGTGAAGGAAGTAACCTCTGTTATATCTCTCCCGTTGATGGTGATTGGTGCTGGTTGTTGTTGTTGTTGCTGTTCGTTGGTTACCTTCATCACCTCCGTCTTCTCTATGTTCACCTGCAGTCCTGTCTTCGCTGCCAGCTTCTTCAGCCAGTTTGTGGGTTTTCGCTTGCAAGTCTTCGAGTTCGTGTGACATAAGACATATATCATGTGCGAAATCCCGATCTTCTAGAGTCTTCTCATCGGTGTTCCAGTGTACTCCTGTCTCCTTGCCCCCCACAGTCTGACGCATAATCCAGTCCACCACAATGAAGAATATTATCGGTGATAATAGGCAGGCCGCCTTATCTTACTTCTGTATGCACTTAGAACGTCTCACTGAGTTTCCCGTTGTGGATCACCTGACACGTTCCACTGTCACATTGGTGTTGAATGAGGTTGATAAAGCCTTGGGCACTGTACGCCGTAGTTTCGAAGTAGTTTCCACATTACGTCTCGGTCAACGCTGTCGAAAGCCCTTCCGAAGTCGATGAAGTTGATGTAGGGAGAGGTTGGACTGCCATTCTATGCTTTTCTCTGTGATGACGATGCGTAGAGTTGCAATTTGACCAGCACATTGTTTGCCTTTCCTGGATCCATCTTGTTCCTAGATGGTGCAGTTATGCATTCAGTGCATCCTTTATTCTTTCCAGGATGATACGACTTAGTATTTATTTGGTGTGGACAAGAGCATTATGCCACGCAAGTTCTCGCGGAGTGAGGCCTAAGTCGCCCTTCTCTGGCAGTTTGACGAGGTAGCTCTTCTTCCAATCAGTAGCCTTTCCTTCTTTCCAGACGTTTTGCAGTAGTATAGTGAGAACATCTGCCGTAATCTCTGGGGCCATCTTCAGTGCTTCAGGAGGAATTCCATCTGGCCCTGCAACCTTCCCGACTGGACTTCAGTAGTGTGATCGTACTCAAAATTTTTGCTTTAGTTGGGGGATTGGTGTCCACTGGTAGGTAGTTGTGTGTGTGCTGGTGATGGTGGCGTATTTCTGCTCGGGTTACACGTGATGGTCGATTCAAAAGTCCTTTGAAGTGATCAGTCCATTGTTTTATTTTTCTCGTGGTAGGTAAGCAGATTCACTTGAGCATCTTTTATCGGTTTCATCATCTGGGTTGATCTCTACCCGGATAGAGATCTGGTTATTTGATATAATGTCCTAAGGTCTCTTTTACGGGCAGCCTGCTTGTTCTGCTTCAGTTGCCGGTCAGTGTGTCGTGGAATTGTCTATTATCTTTCCAAGCACTAATCTTCACGTCTTTCTTGATTCAGTGCAGTGTACAATGAACTCAGCTTCTCTTTCTGTTGTCCATCTTTGCATTGAGTCATCTTCTCTTTCACCATCCTCCTCTCCTCGATTAGCCTCCAGATATCCGTGGAGAGCCATTCCTTGTCTTCTCTCTTCCTTCTATCTAAAACAGTTGTGCACGTTTCGCTGAACATCACCTTCAGGGAGATCCAATGTTCTTCCACCTAGCTATCCTCAGTGATATCACGTAGTGTGCCCGACTTTGATTTGATCTGATGTCTGTAATGAAAGCATCCCTTGTAGTTTTATCCTTCAGTTTCTGAATGTTGAACTTGAATTACAGTTGTCTGTCTGCATTTGTTTTCATGGATTTCATCTTCACCTTGAAGATTGCTAGAACTAGATGATGGTCTGAGCCCTCCCACATCTGCTCCCCTTCTCCACTTTGTATCCAGCAGACTAGCTGCGTCTCCACTTCCTTGATCAGTATTGATAGGAAATCTATTTGACTTGTGGTGTGTCTGTCAGGCGAAATCCATGTTGTTTTGTGTCTATCCTTGTGTTTGTACACGCTCCCTCCTATCGCCAAATCGTTGAGAGAGCAGAAGTCTGCGAATAGCTCTCCGTTCTCATTCATTTCTCCAGGTGAGAATCTCTCGACCCATGATGAGTCCTCTTCCAGTATTATCAGGTCCCAGTTTGGCGTTCATATCGCTCATGAGGGAGGATTTTGATGTCACCATTTGCGATGTTGTCGATTACTGTTTGTAGTTGTCTGTAAACCTCTTGCTTCTTGTGTTGTTCCACGTTGTTTGTAGCACTGTGGGTAGCATTGTATGATAACTGTAACCTTCCTGCCTTCTTTTGTAGTTGAATCTTGCTGTCATGATCCTGCAGGATGAAATTGGTTCCCACTGCATTAGAGCTTTGGCTGAAACTGGCGACATCATTATAGACACTCACTGTCTTAATGTGCCTGTGGTTGTCGTCTGGGTGACCGGAGTAGATTACTGACTCTCCAGTTGACAATGTTGTCAATCCACATCCATTCGATCTGCTTTCTCAGATTCCCAGCACTTGTATGCCCCATCTTCGCATTCCCAGTCTCGTACAGTGTACGTACATTACACGTCCCCATTCTTACTCTTGCTTTCATCGAGAGGAGACACATCGGCTAGATGACTGGCTTCCCGAAGGCCAGCTTTCGCCTGCCCGCTGTGTCATTTCACTTCTCCGATTCGAGCGAAGAATAAGATTTTTATTTGGAGTTTTTGTATTTATAATATATTTTCTGTGCGTCGAAGTTTATCTAGCGGTTTGAAAGATTTAGTGGTGTGGGGTTGCTAGCCCTACGCCCAACCCTCCTTCTTTACCCGGCCTTGGGACTGGCTTGAAAAACAGCAAGCTAGTTAACTAGGCGAGGTAGAAAGGAAGATAGATCACTAGATTTCCGATCAAATTCGTGTTTTTATTTCTCAATGCATGTTGAGAGGCTTTTTATCTGGAATTTTCCTTGTTCGACATGTGATATTGATACACATACATAATTATCTAGGTATGTTCTCGTGTCTAAACTGTCCACATCTTTCTTTTTTGTTGCTGTTATACACAAAAGTTCAATAAAACATACTTTTGTAAGTTAATTTTTCTGTTTGTAAAAAGGTAATGGCTTAATATACCACTAAACGAGCACAAGCTGTATGGTATTATTGTATGCAATCAGTATACTAAGAAGGCTGTGATATTCACGTGCACATTTCCATTCATTGATGTTTCGTTGCTTTTTTCAACGTTACACTCACTGTAGTCCATTTATTTTAAACGTATCTGTGTGTGTGTGTGTGTATTCCTGGGCTGAGTAGTTTAATTTCTTGTATTGTTTTTAAAAAAAATCTTTTATGTTTGTAATTCAATGTACGCTTTTTCGTCAGTACTTGTGGTTCATCTTTTCTGTCTCCTAGGCTTGTTGCAACTATCGAAAATTGACAGCATCTGTTGTCAGTCTACTGGCTGAAGAAAATATAAATGATTTACAACGTGTATTTTGTCCAGGTCGTGTAATATTTATCAGTCTGGCTAATTCGGAAAACTCATTAGCTCAGAAACAGTCTACATCAAAACAGTCAAGTTGGCTAGTACCTGCTGTTTTAGTCAATTTGTCAAAGAAAAAGATCAAGAATGAGAGTGAAATACAAGTGAGCAGTCTGTATATTTTCTTCAGTTGGTGTTTTTATGAGAAGGAAAAATAAACGTTTATCGGAAATGTTTGTCATGAACATTCTTCAATTTATTTTAGAAACACTCAGAACTGTTACATTTCACTTTCTAATTTTACTGTTTCATCCGATTTGCATAGGTGTAATGCTTGAAGCATATCAATTAATTCGAGGATACAAAGTAATCCGCCTTTTTTCGTCGGTGCTGCCAGTGTCCTAAGTTCTCATTTAATGGTGTGAAAAAATTTGGGCGTTTGGCATAAATGGTGTTTATCCCTATTAGAAATTTGTATTCTCCAGTTTATGAGGGGAGGGGTGTGACAAAAACGATGTTCTTTTTTACTGACTCTTCGTTATTTATAGTGCTGATAGTTTCTGTCAAAGAATTATAAAACTAGATTTCAGCTTTTATATGTTAACGTGATCAAAGTTCTTCTGTATGCAGTAATTCAGTGTCGCCAAGCAAATGAATTAACCTTCGTAGTAGGAAGAAGGTGATAAATGCAGGTTTAATGCTGTCGTTGACCCTTATTCCTGTCCAGACAATCTGGATTCCTTTTTATGTAAGAAGAATAACACAATACTAGAATTCATTCAAAAATGTATTAAAACCTATATGAAAAAGTAAGACTAGCAATATAATTAAGGCTCATGACGTGGCGTGCTCTACTGATAAGATTTATCAGTAGTATGTAAAGAGACGTTCATTGATATAAAAATGTCAGATAGCAAGGAGATACTTTTGACTTCAAAGACAGCAAATAATTCAGCTTTGCGGAAGAACACGGGAGACACGAATAGAAGACATAAAAACAATACGAAAGGTAGAAGTAGCACAACACGATTAATACAAAAGCAACACTGGTCTCAAATATTTACAGAAAACTGCATTATAAATTTGTAGGTAGTGAAATTACCTAAAGCTAATAATAGAATTGTGAGCAGGCACTGACATCATTATTATTATTTATTTAATTCGTTTAGGTTCCCAGTGGTACATAGGGCTTCACGTTAGAGCTTTGAAGTTCCGATAGCAAGATTTTGTAGTTTTACGGGTTTTGTCGGCCTTACTACCGGCTTAGCGAGGTAAGGGAGTGCGCCAGCCGGGGATCGAGCCCCGGACCACATGCATGGTTGGCCAGCATTCTACCTCTGTACCATTGATATCACAGTGAACAATAAACAACAGTAGAAGTGTCGTCCAGTTATTAATATTATATCACTGTATTTTATGGTAAATAAACATATCACATTTGCAATTTTTATTGTGCTATAATATTCGAATTCTACTTTAATAACACTAAATGATTTTATCAATCTGTTAAGATAGTGTTTTCGAATACAATTTAGTTCATTTATAAAGTTGTGGGTCGTTTAGTTATAATCAACAGGATGCCATAGATTACTGGCCCAAAAGCCTTATTTACTTTAAGTTAAAACTCCTTACATCTCCTGGTATTCATAATTTTTTTTTGCCCCAGACGTATAAATGTTTCCAGGTCTCTTCGATTTTCACTGCTTTAGCTGAAAGTATAACAACATTATTCTATGCAGTAGTACTTTCGCCTCTTTGCTGACACGTACGCTTCTCGTGTCTCAGCAACTGTATGTACCAGCCTTCAAAACCATGGGTCCTGGATCTGTGTTGCGTTTCAGTGTAGACATCAAAACTCAGGCACACTTAACTATTATTGTTGTATTATTGTTCCCTTGGGTTCCGAGTGAAACATAGGGCTTCAACAACACATCTCCACTTCGTTCTATTCTCTGCCATCTTCTTTACCTGGGTCCACAATTTCCCATAATCTCTCATCTCTTCTTTACACGATCTCCTGTATGTCATCCTAGGAGAATTCACTCGTCGCTTCCCATTCGGATTCCACTCGAGCAATGGCCTGGCGAACGATGTCATTCGACGGCCTCCTCAATGTGTGCTCGATCCATCCATATCCGTTTTCTCCTACATATTTGTTGAGTGATCGGTCCTTGGTTGGTTTGTTCCCAGAGTTTCTTGTTGCTAAATCTCTCTGATCTGCCATTTCATCTTCATTATGGAGCGAAGGCAATTAACAATTCCCCATTAGGATGAGACCAGTATTGCGGATTTCAGTGGTAACCACCACCGAACTATGCTGGTTTTTATTGTATCGCCACTTTGTTTTACGCAAATTGCCTGCCTCCATACGCCGATGAAAATTGGAAACAATGAGGCTGGGGTTTGGTTCACTTTTCGTTGCGAATTTCGATACATTTTTCAAAAATCTCTATGTTTATTACTTTCTTTAAATTCTGTGTTTATTCGCTTTATTGTATCTTTCCATAGTGGGATATTATTACCTGGCAAGTACCTAGTCTACCCAAAAACTTATACAAAACTGCACAGAATAATAATTCTGTCAAAGAAGATAGCAATAGCGAAGAAAAATTCAACGAAGCAGACGAAGAAGACATTCTAAGGGAAGGTGAAGATGTTCAGCTTTCTGTGACACCGTATCCTCCCCAATTAATACCAGTTTTTATTCCAAATGTAGGTCAACATTTTCCTTTATCTTAGTATATGTTTATGGTAACTCTATCTGAAAGTTTAGATTATTATCTCAAAAGTTTTGGATTAAAATACACATTACTTATGTGAATAAATTCCTTATGGTTGGTAAGACATAGTCGGATATCACCTCAGCTATCTGATGGGGTGTATTAATAGTTGATAACAGAATTGAGTGCTTCATCAGATTTACAATAAAAGACTGGCACTAATGTCTCATTTTTTGAAAATACTAAATGAATGACCATTTAAGGCACTGCCGTAGCTGTGACAATCAACCAGCTGTTATCCAAACACTTTGGAACAATGTGTGTAATGGTTTGTGTGTGTGTGTGTGTAAAGTCGAGCTCTAAAAGACTACATAAGCATATCGCAGTTCCTGTCTATTAACAGAATGTCTGTGTAGAAGTAAAGAGGTCATTTTGTAAACATGCCAGAAAAAAATAGTGTGAGTGACATATATTTCATAGTCACGGTGTGGGAGAATGAGTAACATTGGGGGATTCAATGTTTTTTACGGAATCTATGTATCAAAGTTCGAACAGTTCCTTAATAATGTCTGAGATGTATGCCAGTAATACGTTTCTCACTGTGAACAATTTTCCCTTTGAGTGTTGCGGGTAAATTAGAGCAACAAAAGAGACTGTGGTCGCTTAGTTCCACAACTATGATGCAGGTTTTTGACATTTTGTCTGATACTTCTACAATCTGTGTTGTAATTCCAAATTTTTACAGACTTTTGTTTATGATGAAGCTATGGCTTAGTGCTTTAGACTCAATACTTTTGACCCCCATGTCATGGGTTCGAACAACGCTCCATCTACGGAGATGATGGTATTATCACTCACCCTCACACAATAGATGCGGCTCATTGCCGACTGTATGCAGTTGAAAGGGGATTTTGATTTTGTATTTTTTTTTTGGTTGTGTTATTTTATAACTATATAGTGACACAAATGTACACCGGTATGGTTGGTGTTTGTGCTAGACAGACAGCGAACCTAATTTATTAACATTTTCAAGTTGGAGGGTTTAATCATGAACTGACATCAGTTTGAGAACCATTGGAAAACTTGGGAGTACTGGATAGATGTTTCCTCCTAGTTTGTGACTCTTCATCAGTACGTACCCACCGCCAGGGTTCGAACCCAGGACCTTCTGGTTACAAGGCGAGCTAGCTCGTAGGCCATTGAGCCACTGTGACCCGATCCAATGGTCAGCTCATGAATTCTAATTTCTGCCAATTCATGACATAGTGCGACCACTTCCTAATGTCTTTGATGAGTTACTGCCTCACCTTCAACCTGCAGTACCCTACTAATCACGGCTTCCCACTTCCCATTTGGTGAAGTTGATTTCACTATTCAAACAATTTCTTGTTCAATTTACCTAAATTAACGTTTCCTTTTTCTTTACATTGATTTAAGTCGCTAGAAGATAGTCATGCTCGTCTAACATTGTTGTCAAATTCATCGGCCCGATTGTTTGTACGTATCTGTGATCATGTTATTACATTTCAAAATTATTCAGCTGTTAACAATCCTAATGTAACTTTATCAGAAATGTTAATTCGTGGCATTAAACGACATCGTCAACAAATGGCTGCTTTAGAGGCTGGTATGCGTTTAGTGACTGGTGCAAATACAAATGCTGGTGATGGTGATTCTCTGCTTTTACTGGATGAAATTAATGTAACTTTATTTAATCTTGTAAGTTCATTGGTTCCTGAACCGTCAAAAACGACAACAACATCACACGAATCTTCATCGTCTACAATATACGGTCTGCCGTCAAGTTGGCCCATGAAGATTGATTTAAGGAAATCTTTGAAATTTAAAGGAATATCAGAAGAGGTATGCTTCTAGTTTGTTCTACTTTCATTAACCTGAAAAATATCATGCTTTTCCCAAAAGATGCATTTTTATATTGAGATGAAGTTCGTGGAGTTCTAACGAAAGTTTGTGTCCTACATGATCCACCAAACTGGGTAGGAGGAATGATACTCACTGATGACATTTAGCCGTGGTGAACTTATATCACGAATGTTAACATGCTTCTTTCCTTTTAACTCCTTGTTCATTCTCTGATAGAGGCATGAGCACGTAGTGCTGAAAAGTCTCGAAACAGAACGAATTAGTTGTTCAGTGCTACTGGTTTTCTCTTCTTTTCTGACTAATTCTGGTTAGTGATGAAAATTCCGCCTTACAGATAATGGAATCCATATAAGTCCGACTTTTGGAAACGTTAATCCTGTTTTTTTAAAACAGTTGATTACGCAATAACCGTAAAACAAATCAGGTCACTATTCGTCTTTTGAAAGTCATTGAATACTGTCAGTCTCATAAAGTAGTGTGAAGTTTACAAAATTATGAACTCAAATGTTGCGTCAAAATTACCGTTTTTTACTCCTCCAGTCTTACGAGAATTTACTCTCTTGCAGCACATTTATAAATGTATGGTCCTCCCAGTGATACAACGCTACCAACTCTGTGTATTATACGACAATTGGCCTATAGCTAATCTCTCAGAAGGTATAAGTTGTTGTTTTCTAGGTCACTGATATGATACAATGCGTCACAGGCCTGCATTATGCCTGTTTTTGTTTTGGAATGTACGAATAGTGTCCATATGGGGATCATTGGGCGGCTAAAGGTGTAAGTTTCCACCGCCTCAACACTAGTACTACTGTCATTTTTAACTGGCTGGTGTTAAGCCAATTTCTGTCAAAGTCGACGTCATAAAATGTAATAAAGGAATGTATGGGCAGTGTCATGAATGAGAATGCACTGAATGAAACTGTCACCGTTTCTATCGAAATGCCAAAATTTAACGCCTAAAAATAATCCTAGTAAAATCCATCCTACTGGTGTTAAGTTCGGTTAATTCAGAAATACTGTAACACACAAACTGTCAAAATCTTTCACGTCGATATTTTGTGTAACAATCAATCATCATCATCTGAACTGTAGTTTAACTAATTCTTACAATTTGGAATGAAAAACCTAGTGTTCTACATTCAGAGGACAATAAACATGGTTAATTTTGACACAACACCTTAGCATGACTTAAGAACTTTTAAGGATCGTCGAATACCTTTATGTCTACCGACACCCAAGAACTGCTAGATTTCTTGACCTGAAGGGAGCGTTTAATTCAATCGGTTGAGAGGTGCTGGGGAAATGTGTAATTTGGAAGGAGTGCTGAGCACTCTACTCGAAGTCATACAGACTTGTAAGAACTTATGCATATTTGATGCCTGTTCTGTGGATCAAGGATACCAACTGTCGTCTTAGTTGATTTCACTACGTATGTACAAATGGATATGAACCTGATCGACATTTATGTTCCGAGTATTGGACTGTTTATCGGCAGAAATAGTTTCATTGATTCCAAGTATGGTCGTTTTTGGCAAAGATGTTGCCAAAATGATATTTTGATGTTTAGGTTCATCGAAGAGGCTATAGAGCTCTATAGAATAAGATATTTTTTGTGCATGTGTAGTCACCACCTTCCTCTCTGATCATTTTTAGCTGAAGTAAAATTAGGTGCATAGTTTTTCTTAACAAGGCTTACCTTTTAATGCTTTTACTACATTTCTGTGCATAATCGTAAACGTAATTCTTCATTTCACCGTTAGTGCAAATATTTAAAGAGAATAGAAATTAATTGACCATTTTCATACTTTTTGGGTTGTACACTGTGATGTCTGGTCTTTTCATGTTCACATTTCTAATTTTAGTTATATAACGAATATTAGTGTATAGTAATAATGAGAATCATAATATTGATAGTTATACCTTTTGAAATTGCCTGTGTTCTTCCGATTTATTTCTTGATTTTGTGGAAGTTCTTTCTTCGAAGACCTTGTGTAAAGGTTAGATGCATCCTATAATATTTTGTCGATCTGATGATTACAACTTATCACCTAGTTGTTTTCTGTGACTGTGCATTCTAAGATTGTTTGTAATGTTAGAAAGTTGTGAAACTGTCTACCCTCTTTCTATCCCTGCTGTTTAGTATATACTAATCATTACAAACAATTTCCTCCATTTGTCAATGACTCATTATTTAATGTACATTTATTACGTGTTAACAATTTTAGGATGCTTGCGTGTTTGATGAGCACGCCTTGTTGAGTGATGAGTTAACAACACCTTTAATAAGCTCAGAAATTACTCAACGATTAGCTCCTGTCTGTTGTCCAGACTTGGTCGCACACCTGGAAATGATTCACCGTACCTGTCGTCGAAGGTGGGCAGTGAAAAGAATTGAAGAGTGTCTCTCCGATTCTCAATTGCAGTTAAATACAGAGTATATGGGACGTTTACGTGTTCTGGAAGAACTGGGATTTATCGATTCTGCTACACAGTCTGGTTGTCTTAGTTTGAAAGGTGAGATCTTCACTTTTGTTGTTGATATGATTTGTTTACTACATTATGCCTTTCAATATGAGCGAGACTAGAAACAGTGATAAGCCATGACTGGGAAGAGATCAACGCAGGTGAAACCAGTGAAAGACACTCCAGAACCGAATGGAATCCCCGTGATGGCTCTAAAACTTAACCCAAGGATTTCAGCAGACTTGCTCACATCACCACTACAGAAGGTGTAGAAGAAAGGAGAAGTACCTATCGATCTGAAGAAAAAGTGGCTACCTTGTAAAACTACCAAAGTGGGGTGGCTTAAGCTTATGTTAGAACTGGGGTGGAATCATACACCTATCCACCCCAAGCAATCGTGGATAGACTAAAAATGGTCTAGATGGAAGCCTTCGCCTAGAATCACCTGGCTTCAGGAAATCAAATTATTTGCGCACCGAATTGCAACACTACGCGTCGTCATCATCTAACAGAGCGTAAAATTGAAGTCAATGTAACTGTAAATGTCGAGCGCTGTGGTAGTATGTAATTCCATATTAGATAAATGTATTTCAAATACCACACAGTGGATGCAGTATTAATAACTGGATGACGTTTCGAGCATAAATCATTTCTCACAATCATATCAGTTTCAAATTGACTCACCTTTTTTGTTGGCAATTTCTTATTTTATCTCCATTCCGCACTATTATTTGTTCGGAATGTATGTTTATTCTTATACAATGAACTTTTCTTTATTGCCATTGTGATCTTCGTTATATGTAGGTCGAGTCGCCTGTGAATTGACAAAAATGGAAGTATTAATCACTCAATTATTACTTGATGGCTCATTCACTGATCTTTCACCGCCAGATCTTGCAGCAGTTTTATCGTGTTTTGTATTTGAAACACGTGGCTCCGATATTAGCACAGAGCAACAGCAAGATGGTCAGTATTTACAAAGGCTTCTTGATTCATTGAGTAATTCAATTGTCTCCAGTGGAGATGTTAGTAATTCAAGTGTTACTTATCCTCCAACTCTTATACCAACATTGGTGAAAATTATATCCTGCGCGATAGAGGTATGTATATGTGGGTTCACTTGTTTGTCATTGACTCTACTCTCCTAACCGTGTGTTTGTCTATTAAATCAATCAGCAATAAGCAGCAAAAGATATTCAGTTGTTGCTTATTTCTTTCCCAAATTTCCTCTTATAAGTATTTTTCCAACCTATGAATCTGCAGACCTAGTTTTCATATATAAGGAAATACTAGCAATTGAATTCATTGTAAGTAGGGCTAATTGAACTGTATCCAAGCATGCAATTAGTTTGATTTGAATATTTGCTCATACGCCACTATTCATGATACTTGATACGCAAGTCGATTATTTGTTTATTTATACCATTCTGTATTGTCGTTGAGCATGTATTGCTTGTTTGTCGGTGAGGATATAATCCATCGCGATTCAAATTTGCCGCGCTTCCGTTTCAGTATATTTGTATAGGTGAAGTGAAGGCAATCAATTACGGCTTGAATTTCCTTAGGTAGTCGATTTTGTATTATGGGCTTAGAGGAATGATACAGCTGTTTTAAAGCTCTTTTATCGACGTTTTTACGCAGCTAGAATATCTGTTATTACGTTTGCTATTATTGTTATTGTTATTATTCCTTTGGATTTCGAATGGGACATAGAGCTTCAATAACAATGTTTACTATACCATGAGCGAAAATACGTCGCGATAGCCTTTATCCTCACTCCTTACTTGTACTCTTTTGTTTTTGTATCCTTGTCTATAATGTTAAATATTGTCATTGTCAAAATTAATGCAAGACATGTAGGCGGGTGGATAGTATAGTATTGACAGTTCGACCTTCTTCATGCTTCACTTCAATATAATATGAAATTTTAACCAATGGTGAATTACTTGTGGATAAAATATAAGTGGTTAATTTTCTAAATATGGCAGTAATAACTATGATTATAGTAAGATTACTAATGATAGTATTAATGATAACAAACGTACACGTAGGTGACGGAGGTGATTATGAGAATGAGGAAGGATAGTACGACAGTTTACGCATTTCACTAATTAAATTAGGTCTAAATTATTATTTTGTATTATTACCCGATAAATATGCTGAAGGAAATGAAGATGGATTGGACACATCGAAAAGATCGTTAAGTAGTGATATTACGCGCCAAATCCTCGGATGGGAACCCGAATGGTAAAAGATGAGTTGGGCATCTGAGGTGAAATGAAGGAGATAGTGTGAGGAAAAGATGAGAACTTATGGGTAGTCGTGGAGATGTTCTCTTGAAGACCTGTTTTTCCCTCGGGAGCTAAGCAAATAATAATGTTGAAAGTGAAAAGAATTATAAGCTTCACTTAGTTTATGAGATTTATCTAGGACTCATGAAAAGACGAAGTTAAAAGAAACTTCTTTTGAATCCAAAGACTAGTGTTACTATCCTTAAATACCATAGCTTCGGCTATGTGTAAAAGGAAAGTTCGAATTCTTCTCGACAGGTCTGATGAAATGCGATAGGTAATCATGCTAACGGTTCTTCAGTCCGCTTGATTACCACTGTCAATGTCATTATAGAAAATTGAGCTTTTTATCGATTTTGGTTGACATTTTTCGAATCATGAAGGGCAGTGCTTAGCAGTGACTCTGTATAGCTGCCTAGTTGTTCGTGCTGCATAGTTTTCTCCACAAGAATTGCTAAATTTGTAAATGCAAGTAAAAAAGGCACAGTTAGAGTTGGCTTAAGTTTTTATAGCTCTATATGGTCTTGGGTGCAGAACTTTACTAGTTACGTTTCCGTTGAATTGTATATGCATATAAGTTTGATATTTGATATATTTAAAGCCTTCTTTGCTACTCGACCAGAGTATAAGGCAGTTTTGTCTGAAAGAGTGACATAATTTGAAACAAAAGCAAAAGGTGTATATGTACATAAGTTTGGGCCTGTATTTAAAATGTTCGAAAATAAGCACTACTGAATCTCGATGAAAAAGCCACCTTCAGGTTTTTTTAGGCACAGTGTTGAATCTATTTTCATTAGGCACCATTTATGCAAACTATTTAATTCTACTATTATTACTTTTTTAGCTTGAACAATTACAGACTAAGCATGGTCTTAGCGATCCGTCTGCTGATACACGCATCACTCTTCAAGTTGTAAACGCTGTCCATGCATGGGCACAAGGTTATTCCTTCTCAATACTGGTGTCAATGACAAGTGTCCCTGAAGGACATTTAATACGTGGTTTACTACAACTTGATGAACTACTCCGTCATATATGCAGTGCCTGCCATCATCTCGGCGATAAAAATTTAAGCTTAAGAATGACTGAAGCAAGAAATGCAATATTACGTGATATTGTATGTGCACCGAGTCTTTATGTTGCTGATGATCTTTTATAAACTGAGACAATCCTTATTACATTTTGTGTTTGTGAACACTATTTTTGTTTAGCTCTTTCTTAATTCCGTTCTTGTCTCTACTCTGTTTATTGCCAGTGCATTTCAGAATGTCTGAGTGACTTTTGTTCAGTCTTAATTTCCTGTTAGTTTATAGAATATTTATTTTCTTCTCGTTTACTTTCCACTTTTGTGCATAATATCCTGTAATTCTGTTTTAATTTTCAATTGCTCTTATGGCAGCTAGTTGGCGATATGAAAAGTATACCTTTCCAAATGATTACTGAGAGTTATTCTTATTTTTGTATTTAAAAGACATGTTGAATAGCGGAAAGTAATACGGATAATAATAATAATAATATTCTACTCTATTTCAGTATGTGTACATCTGGTATTACAGTATTGATTTAATAGTATTTGATATATTTCAAGCCTTCTTTCCTACTCGACCAGAGTATAAGGCAGTTTTGTTTGAAAGAGTGATGTAATTTGAAATAGTACTATTTTATTTAAATTAAATCAAAAGCAAAAGGTGTATTTAGTTGATTGGATTGTTTACAATCTGGGTGGAGGATAAGAGGTTATATATCACCTGTGACTGAATGCGTAAAACGACCAGAAAGGCATCTTAAACTTTAGAATGGTAGTTGAATCATGTAGTAACTTGAAAACAATTTGTAAAGCTATTTTGTTACGATTTTTGAACATCTCCTATAGATGTACCTGTTTTAGATAATATGATTTTCGAGAGGTAACGCCAGTCGCTGATATCGTATTGAGCAGTGGCAATCAAGTACCAACCTTTGGTGTCTTATCGGCATAGTCCATGTACTGAAATTTTCCAGGTGACTCAAACTAATCAGAGCCCCTCACACATTGAAACACCCCGTTGAAAGGGTATTTTCTTTTCGTTACACAGGGGGCTGCTGTGCTTATTTAACTTAATGTTTTCCTTTGTTTGTCTTGATACTGATCGGTTCGCTATACGTTGGGTTGTTTACTTTTAAATTTAATGCTACTTTCAATTCAAACAAGAACTTCCGTACAGGTATCACCTTGTCCGGAAGGTCGTTAAATGGTAGTCAATATAAAACAGCTCACCATACGAAATAAGCATCCATCATCATATAGAAGGGAAATAAATAGCTGATTGTGAAAGGTCAAATTTTTAAGTATTGGTTTTGTATGGATTTTGTTTGATTGATTGGAGGATTTCATTATGAACTGACATCAGTTTGAGGACCATTGGAAAACATGAGAGTACTGGATAGATGTTTCCTCCTAGTGTGAGACTCTTCATCAGTACGCACCCACCGCCAGGGTTCGAACCCAGGACCTTCTGGTTACAAGGCGAGCTAGCTCGTGCTGAATAGAATAAAAAATGGCTCTCAACGAAGTTTATATGACGGAGAAGAGTACTGGAGAGTCTGAACATAATCTTCAGAGCACTAGGCAAAGATTTGAGTGAGAGTGCTAGGAAACATACCAGACGCTTTCCTGACATACTGCCTATTGAAGCTGTTGGTCAGAGAGACCTAGGAAAGCTATTTAAAATAACAGGCCGCTGACCAGGAAGAGATCAATGCATATAAAGATAGTGAGGCCAGGCCACTTACCAAAAAGGTGGAACACACGGAACGCTGGTATGTTGACGTCATAGGACAATGAATGATGGAAAATTCCTCGAAATTTTTAACCTATAGCACAAGAGATCCTTACCTTCACTGTTTAATTTGACTTGTTCAGCTGAAGGCTCGCCGTCAAGTATCCATGTAATTCAGTGCACCGTTGTGTTACGTTCGCCTGTTCATGAACGATCCTTAGCTAGTTAAGCAATCATTCCCACACTACGACTTTGATCCTGAAATATACTTCGTATTTTTGACGGTGAATTTGGTGCTTTGATTTGCTTTTGGCCTACGCAGAAAAATTTCTATGGGAGTTGTGGGTGGCGAAATTTACCTTAGTATAAGTCGTACTTGCTATAAATATCGATGCACCCTCATCTGCTGAACTCTATCATGAACTTCACTTCCTTTGGTAAACAAGCGAACAAATCCGATGGGTTCGCCCTATTTTATATTTGCTCATGGTATATTCGCTATATTTTAAACTCCTTTTACCACAAGTTACCATACAACAAAGCTCATTCGTATCCGACCAACTAGCACTCCTATTCAACTCTTGCCGTTTCGACCAGACAATGCACAAATACAGTTTCTGTTAGTTGAAGCTGACTTCTGTGAACATGGAGACAATGATCGATGTTCACAGTTCCTTGCATTTGTATATGGTCTACCTCAGGGACTAACAAAGTGTGTTACTGTGTAAATGCTCATCCTGGAGGTAAACAATCTCTTCAAGATGCCTTTAGTAGCTATCCTTAAGGGAAAATATCTCTCGGAACGTCCAAATCCCGATGACCTCTTTCGTAGTGTCGAGCTGGACGAGCATTGGGCTGGTGATGAAAAGTCATTGACCAACGGAAATTCAGTGAAGTACTCTTTAAAATTATGTATCTATCTGAGTTGCAATGGCCAGCACGGACGGTGCTTGTGACATCTCAAGGAGTCATTATTGGCCTTCAGCTGCTGTTGTAACGACAGAAGACTAGAGCCAGACAACAGATCATTTATTGAGAAAACCAAGGGATTTTTATGTACATTATTGTTCGTTATTGTCAGCAGACAAGTGACGTCTTCTGATTGATTTCTCTTGCTGAAGGTCATTCTGTACCACTTGTGACCGCTGCTAACAAAGGTATGCATATATCTGCGAATCGTATTAGCACACCCTAAGTCTTCTGTGATTGGTTGGTGAGTTGCTCAAGGTTAGGCTTCGTTCTTGTTTTTGATCGATTCGGGACGTAAACGCTGATGTAAATTGTTGTTTACAATTTTGGCTGGCAGACGGCTCTCACCACACTATGGCTGATAGAATCCTAGAAATATCGCTGTGGTCAGTCAATCGATCTTTGAATAAACTCAAAAGGATAGAATTGTATAATTTTGTTATCCACTCCTTAGGTCAAGCAGACTCTGCATTTCCTCTAACCGCGAATAAAACCCATCTCAAAGTAGCAACTCACCTCAAAGCTCGATGTATAAACTAAGTTTATCTAAGAAACCACACTGGCTCTGGTATAATAATAGCTATGACAGGGAGGCATAGTGTTGCCGAAAACCCTGCAGTCCTAGCAAGGATTCAAAGGCTATGGGGAACCTGGCCGCTGGCTCAAAATAACGGTGACTGTAGCCTAGTACATGGTAGACATGGGTCACGAAATCAGATCCTATCTCGCCATTGGGGCTGACATCCAGGAAGAAAATACTTTCAGTTTTCAGACTGCAAGTATAAAACACATTACAACCTTCGGTGGGTATTACGTCTACTTCAACGTAGGTTTACACAAACCTATTCAATAGGTGTTACTTCTTGCAGAAGTTACTGTGGCTATCATGATGATCTACTAGCTATGATGATCTTCTCTAAGCTGTCCACCAAATACGACTGACAGATAGTACCACTAGACTGCCCACTAAATGTATCATCTACGTAGGTCAAAACTTGTCATTAGTTAAGAAGAAGGTGACAGCTGATCCAACTTTTCGGCCGACTGTTGACAAGCACCCTAAACTTGATTGCTCTTCGAACTATTTGCCGTGCGTAACCAGCAATGTTATGTGCCAAATCACAGCCTTAGGGAAATCCGTGACATCCAAACCACGATGACTTGCTCCTGACAAACTACAACTGTTGAGTAATGATTTTAATCATGTTCACTCTCGTGTCATTTAGCTACCAGATAGCCTATGGTATTGAATCTCTGTGTGCTTCAGGTGCTATTTTTGTAGCAGTATCTTCCTTACTCGTTCAGATAAACAAGACTTGTTGGTCTACCACGTGATTGCTGTGAAGCCGATCATCCAGAAAGTACTAGGTAAAGTCGAAAACCTTTTCTTTTCCTTGTCTTGTACTTTTTCAGTCTTATTCTTGTTCTTGTGGGTAGATACTGTTGCACTCTTATTCTTATACAGCATAAGTCTTAGCGATAGTTAATATGGCTGTCGAAAGTAACCTTAGAAATGGCACCAAAACACCTTACTCTGTAGTCACAAGGGCTTCAGCCAGAGAAGGCAAAAACCCAGGGACACCAATCCCAAGTCTCATACCCATCCTAAAGACTCGTGTAGGACTCGTCTGTCCTGATACTACGCCTGCATTGCCACAGTCTAGTACTGAAACGGCACAGGCAATACTAAGGGGACAGGATACTACACCTGCATCAACTGAAAGCCAATGTGTGAAGTACAACAAACCTAAAAGGAAACGCTTAAGACGTCATAAGACCTCGAAGGCGTCACTAAGTAAGGGAGTCGAATGCCAGGCGTGCAATATCATTGTTTCTAAAGCTGAATCAGCGTTCGAATGCAATTTTTGCAAACGGTGGGTGCACTGCCGTTGCGACAAAGAGGTACCGAAAGCATACTACGAGTTTATGAGAAATAACCCGTGCCCGTGGTTTTGGTACATCTGTCCACTTTTTCGCCCTGGCATAGTCACACAGAGCGTGTCTGCGGATAGCAGAAACAACACGCTGCCCTTGTGTCCCAACACGGCCTTATGCAGCTTCCCACCTGCTAACATCACATTGCCAAAACTTGGCACAGACAGTAAGAAGGACACTCCAGTCCTACTGACTGAAAATGCCAATTTTCACAAGGTGAAGATTCAAAAGGTTGGACCCAAAACATCAAGGAAAGATAGAATTAGAGGAGCACCACTTGCATCCACAAGCAAGCTTGGCAACACAATAAAGGCTGACCAGAAACCGATGAAGCCTAAAGTTGCTGATGCTGCAAAGAAATACGAGAAGCCAAAGGCCAAACCTAAGTCTGAGGTTAATCGGTCTAATTCTCTCATCCTCTTTAACGTACCTGTGAGCAAGGACAGCTTGCTTGACCAGCGGGCCCTGTTTGATCAAGAACAGTGGTCCAACCTGTGCAATAAACCAGGTCGGAATATTAGTTCAGTGAAATTGTGCAGGCTGTACAGGGGTGTCCACACACCTCAAGGTAAGCCACCACCATTACGGGTTACACTGGGCTCTGCCGAAGAGGCCGAAAAGGTACTATTGATGGCTCAGGTGCTAGCCATCGACAGAAGCTCGAACATAAGGGTGAGACAAGACAGACCATGGGCTGTCAGACAAATGGCAAGGGAGTCACCGGAACTTTTGCCTTCCACCTCTATGGTAGTGCACGGTGTCCCGGAGCTGGAAACGGGCACTGCCTGTGAAAAACACATGCATGACGTACAGCAGTGGAGATGGCTGTCGTCTCAGATGGCCCTTGGCGCTTCTGGAGCCATCTCTGTTTACCGACTACCTCGCCCCGCTCATCTCACACTGATTAGCTCCCCAAAGCTGCTTAGTGTCACATTCAACTCCCCAG